CGTTCTTAAGGAGCTGGAGGGGTTGGAGAAGGATAACTAAATGCAATGTCATGTTGACTGGAGAAGGCTCTGAGCACTTCTCCTGTTGAGCGTGCCATGTATCATTTATGGGGTAGTTTTAAGCGAGTGTTGAAGGTACCTACACTCTCTAGGATGGGTATCAGGATTTACAATGTTGGACAACTATGCGGCGTGGATAGGCCAGCTTGTGTTTGTCCTTGCGATGGGGGGTCTATCGGGGACATTAAAAAGTCGGTCCATTTACTTATGGTGAGGCTTGTGCCGGCGTACCGCGATCGGATGGTGGGTAAAACAGGAAGAACAATCAACAGCTTGCCTACAATCTGTACAGGCTTATTTACTTTCACACGGCGTTTCGTTGTGTCATTGAGGACGGGTGGTTGGTTGGCTTAGTTGCAGACGTGGTGGTGGATGAATTTTTGAATTGTTTGTAAGAATATCGGTGATCATCCGGATAAGATTCGCTGCTCAGTCTATTGCGTTTTCTCTTTAATGTCCTTCAACCTCTAAGTAGGTAGGTGAATGCTTCTCATGATAGTGCATGTCAGCTACCCTACAGCGCGGGTGTTAGTTCCTCCTATGGTTGCGGATGTCTTGTATTCATGAGCAGCTTCGCATGTCGTCAATGTTCTAGTTGTACTACGCGTTGACCCCTTATTGAGCCAAATGCAGGTAGATGGGTTGACGGGCCGTCCATACAGAACAACCTCCATGCTTGAGTTGGTCTGACTCAAAACCAGAACACATCGTTGAGATTGAAGATCACCAATGAGACATTACATCACGAGTAAAGCCTTTGACTAGGTACGAGAAACGAGACCAGAGGACTAGATACGCTAGGAGATTTTCCAACTTCAACAACTACGCCGGCCTCTATCTTCACGATGGTTTACAACATGATCTTGAACCTCGTCGACGACAAAGTGGTGAAGCCTGGCTATATGATGCTCAACGGCGAGACAATTTTACAACATACGCCTCGTTCGAGGCCCGGTTAGCTCAATCGGTAGAGCGTGAGACTCTTACTAGAGTACACAATCTCAAGGTTGCGGGTTCGACCCCCGCATCGGGCTGTTCCTATAAGAATGATTGATTAACTGTTTTTTTTTTGCAAGTGCCTTCCTTTTTGCCCCCTGAGATATAAGCGTATATGCAGACATTTGACATTGGGATCAATGTAGCCAGTCCTTCTTTTGCTGCTTGTATCGATAATTACGTCTTTAGGTGAACATGTTATCGGGGGTCCTTCCTCAGACTGTTGACACGAAGAGAACGGTAGCATTCAAGTCGGGCTGAGAGTTCAGGCAGGAACTTCTGAAGTGCTTGCTTTCCGTTCAACATTAATTGCCAATCAGGCCGCTTATAATGGTCCCTCCCTCTCTTATGAAACAAATACAACATGAGTGGTATCATTAACTTTTATCCTCCAACTTTCCATTTGTGCCCCTTTTCCATTTTCCCCTTCGTTACCCATCTCTTATTGTTCGAGCGCCTTGTTGTCTTGCCCCGAAGCATCCGTTACCGCCAAAACACCCTCCTCGTTCTGCTTCTCGCCTTCGGCCTGCAGCTTCTTCTTCTCCAATCTTCTCTGGTGCTTCGCCCTCTTGGCATCAAGCCTATCCTGCTCCTCCCTCAGGGCTCGAATTGCCGGACTCTTTGCCCGAATCTTGGCACCATACCGCCAGAAGACAAACGGAATCGGGATCATGGCTACCTCGAGAAGTCCAAGGAGTGTGCCAGCCCACTGAGGAGTCATGGCTGCGTACATCTTGGGCCCAGCCAAGGGCAGGACACCGCCTGCAATACTTCGGATAACGGCATTTCCGGCGAGGGCGCTGGCGGCATAGATGGAGTATGCGCCGGCCAAGTAATTCGAGCCATAGATGAAGCAGAGGGTGTTACCCGCACCAAAAGGCACACCAAAGGCGATGGGAACGGCCCAATGGATGCTGTTGGGAAGACAGGTCCAGGAAAACACAAGCTGACCGAGAGGTGTTAGGATGGCACCAATAGCCATGACCAAGGCTGTGGCTTCCGGATAGGGCCTGCCGGTCATTGGATCTCGAGGCTGAGAGTTGATCAAGCGACGGAGGAGAGGTTCGGCGAAAATGGCAAGCATGGTTCCCACGCCGATGCCGACAAAAGACAGGCCCGACATACCAGCATTCCAGCCGCGGTGCTGGCGGAAGACGATCGGATAGGCGACGAAACAGAGATACAAGATGGCATAAATCAGTGAGATCCTGTGCGCTGATTAGAGTCGTTGATTACAACCGGGGACTGAGACAATGGACGATCACTGTCTCAAACGTAACTTCACTCACCAGACGTCCATGAACCACAAGATAGGTTCAGTTGCGACCAACTTGAAGGGCCGGCTCATGTTGATCTTGATCAGATGCCACGTGGAAACTCTCTGGTCATACTGGCACCAATATCGTGGATCGTCGTTTTCCTTTCGCAGGCGAGCTGCCTTTCGCTTTAGGATGGCAGGGTGATAGGTCTCCTTGACCGTTGCCATCATGAGGACACCGGCACCGCCCAGGATCAGGACGATCCAATTGTCCCATCGCCAGCCAAGATACTGATAAACAAAACCACCAATGATGGGTCCGGTGGATGGTCCATTGAGAGGTGCGATCGACCACATGGACATGGCAGCTGCGAGGTACTCGGGATCTGAGATGTCGACAATACTTCCAGGGCTGTTGGAGATCATTGCGGCTCCAAAGAGTGCGCTTATTGGCCGGATCAGTCAAACATTCAACGCCGATGCAACAGGAAAGTTACTCACCCAAAGAATCGCACAACAATGATTTCTGTCAGCGACGTTGCCAAGGCGCAAGGCAGAATAAGCAGCGCCCAGATACTCAAGCAAACCAAGTACACCATTTGACGACCATAAAGTTCACTCAGCGGCGCAACAATCAAGCTACCGACAGCAAGACCCAGCAGATACGTCGTCAGACCCAAAGTAGTGGTGGTGGTAGTTGATCCATACTCCTCAACTAGGCCTGGGATGGAGGCCGTGTAACACGTGCTATACAGGACCACGACCCAGGTAGAGTATGATACGGCAACGATGATCCAGGCGCGATACCATTTTGACCAGTTCCTTGGATTCTCGGGATCGCCTTCCTCAAAGAAAACCTCAAAGTCCGGGGGTCGGGATGCGGCGCTGGCGATGCTGGTGCCAGTTCGGGTGTAGGTGATGGGTTCACGCGCCGCTCGCTCTGCCTCGGTTTCTTGATCTGGTGTCAGGGCATGTTCCAGGGCTTCAAACACGTCCGAATCATGCGAGCGCCTTGATGCTGTGCTGTGTCGACGGCTGCGACGTGTTTCGGTTGTCTTGATGGGTTCCAAGACTGGCGATGTTGCTGTTGAAGACGATGAAGATGTCTCTGCGCCAACATCTGGCGACGCCTTCTCAAGATCATTCGTCATGATGGGTGGGAAATTGCTGTCCTGGGCTACGTCTTGGCAGAAGGAGATGGCAAAATTCACTAGGGATTGTCGTCATGCCTCAAGCCAAGACGGTTTCAACTCTGGGCGGAATAGAAGTCCAGGAACTCGCGACAACCGCAGCAAGGGCAACAGAACAGAGAGAGCGCGAAAGAATTCCCGGCAGAACAAAGAAACAATTTAGGAGGCACCGAACGGATTGATAACTGGGAACGGCGATGGGTACCCTCCCTCCTCCCTGTTGGCCGACCGATGCGGCACCGATGCCGAGAACCCATCGTTGGTTCACCTTTTCAGGCGGACGTAGCACCGGGCATAGCAGCATGTCAGCGGCCTGGCCTTCGAAAGTGGAGAGCATCAAATTCTTCCACGGCGTATCAACGCCATGTGGAGCTACGGGTGGGCGAACAAGGTCTTGCGAGCGAGGATCAGAGATTCAAATCCGCTTCCTTGAGTCCCTGCCCCACGTGCGGAAGCGGATATCCCTGGCTCTGGAGTAAGATAAGGGGAGAGAGCGGAATAGGGGCCGGGAGCTCTGTGCCGGTTCAAGGCTGTTTTGCCTCATTGATGCCCGAATCAAAGAGAAGAGAGAGGATGGAGCCAGCATCACGCGGGTATGTTCATGTTCAAGCTTGAAGGGTAAAAGAGTTGCAGCTCTGGCAGCCAAGAAGAAGCTGCCCCGCCGTCATGTCTGGTCTCTTTACAGGCAGAGGCGTGCCGATCCGCCATGCAGAGAAGCACGTTGCGCACCATCAGCCTGCGCTATCTTTGACCGAGTCGGTGCCGAAGTGCGCTTTCGGCCGGGTCTACGAACCATGGCTTACGGCTCGGCGATGAGGTGCGACCAACGACAGGGGATAATTGTGACGACATTAACGGCGACATGTTGATTCACAGGGCGCCGGTGACAAGACAAGATAAGGATCTATTGGAATTACATTGCGAAAACAACAAGTGGATGAGCTCTTGAAAGATAAGAATGGAGGCTCTATTACAGTATAAGGCGCTTGTTTCGGAGCCAGACAAAGTCCCGAACGGCATTGAAGCTCCGGGCCGTGTGGGCATTCCCGGCCCCACCATGTTCGGCCGGCATTTCAACGTCAAGGTCAACTGGTTGGCTTGTTGAAGTGAGTTCATATACAGCTGTCGTCCTCTTTAAGTTGCTGGCAGGGCTACTAAATTTGGGGAAATCTGGGGGTCTCGATGTCGACTCCCGTCTGGACTCCACTGCATGACACCACTTGTGGATGGGGGCCAGCCTCGGTTCCGGCAATGCCGCGGTTGGTTCAGGATAGCATCAAGGATATCCCGTTTTTAGAAGCCTAGTGCACTTTCCATGACCGGCGGGACATGAATCCTGGTCTGGAACTCGTTGAGCTTGGGCTGGATGCCCCGAGTGTGGCGATGGCCTCATCGCTGTTCCCTGATTGCCTCTTGTTGAACTGGATGATTAACATTAAGCATAGTATCTACTGTTACATGATAGCTAACCGAAGCACAGATGAATGCCGGCTGACCTATTCAGTCTCTTTGTCCTTTTTCTGAAGACCTTTCTTCTCATTCATAGCTTCTTCGACACCCTCAGGCCACCAGATCATACACGCGATCAAGACGCCCTCACCTCCCTTTTCCTTCTTTCCCTGGGCGTTGACATTGCCCTTTCCAAGTCTAATATCCTCTATGTGCTCGAATCCATGCTTGAGAAACTGGCTCATCGAGTATCGTGATGTTGCTTCCAGCCACACGGGCTTGCCCACCTTTCTGGCATGTTCCTGGAGGTGCTTGGTCTGAGCACTCATAAGACCTTGTTTGCGGTAATCTGGCTCGGTTGCAGTGAGAATGATGTAGAAGCAGTCACGGATTTGAGACTTGGGGAAGCATTTAAGCTTGACCTTGTCGACTTGTGTGAGATATTGGAGGAGGAGCCGCTGTCATGACATGTCAGTCTCTTGTTGACACAACTATGCTTGCTTCTCTCGCATAAAGGCGTGATATGAGCAATAGTTACTCACGAGAGTCGGTCTTATTCCACCAGACAAGGTAGCAGAGATGCCACCACACTTGATGATAGTCAACATCCCGTCATAATCCTGCCCCGGCTCCGATACGACCATCATGGAGCGCCAGTCGTCGGCATCAAGGATATACCCTCCGCATACGAGGCCAGACTTGACGACTGGTTTGAAAAACACCTCGAGACGTTTTTGCCGTGCATCCACGTCGGGCTCTTCAGAAAAGATCCACGCGAATAGAGGATCATTGCGGAATGCTGGGGTGGCGATCTTGTGAGCGCGCAGTACAGCCTCTTCATCGCCTTTGATCTTTGTCAGTTACTGGCATCTCGAGGTAAGTTGAGGCACATACCTTTGCGATGAACCCTGATATTTGCTATGGGCTCGGCCATTTATGCTGCGCAATTGGAGGGCTTCTCAAATCAATTGGAGTTGGTAAGAGGAAAAATACGTCAAGATTAAATAATTAGAAAACAAAATTCCCAACGCCAATGGCGCAAAATCTTACTCATTGTGGAAGCAGCCGCTAACTATTTATTTAATGAAACATGCATACTACCTACCTATGGAGAGATTAGGGGGCGTTCAAGTCCATCATGTTTCTAGTCCAAGCGCAACCAACGTACGATGTGTACATAGTAACGACCAAATTGAGTCCTTACTTATACACACTGCTTACACGCAAGGCCTCATTTTACAAGCAATGTAATAGGTTTTGCATCCTTTGCCAGCGTGAGAGATTGAGCCTTGTAGGTCATCATCGTGAGGCACATGCATCAAGCGGTTATCAATCATTAGCTCGGGCACCAAATAATCAAGTGAAATCAAGTGACCCATTAACCCGACAAGTATAACATACTCCCAAGTAATACATAATGGTCTCGCTCGGTTCATTGTATACATTCTCTCGACGTTTTCCCTCAGTCAGGTATCAATCAGTCAGTAAGTTAGTCCATGTTTCCCCCTTCCCAAGACGCCTCGCAACCCGGGTCTCAAACAAGACCTCATTTTCTCAGAGCCGTATACATCCTCGCCCCTTATAAGGGCATCGTGTAACAAGGACGCCGATTCGCGTCTAGTCTTGTTGTCTTGAACCAGACAAGCACAAAAAATCAGATAGTGTATGCTGCCCCTCCAACGTTCAGGGGCTGAGAAGAAAACCGCCAGTGGCGATAGACTACCTCTAATAGTAATTCTGCAGATCTGAACCGTTGTTCGCGCCATATCCTCCCATAGGGCGTCCCTGCTGCGCCGCAGGGCCTCGAGGCGGTTGCTGGTTCCATCCTCCGCTGGGTCCTGTAGGAGCTGAAGCCGGTGGTCCGTTCTGGCTGGGCGCCTGGTAGGTATCGTCATAATCCACCTGTGGACCATAGCCGCCCTGCTGGTTCTTGGGTTCCACGTCGTCCAGCGATCGATAATTGTAACCGCCGCCTCGACCACGTCCTCCACGTCCTCCTCTTGCGTTGCCTCGATAGCCGCGGCCCGAGTTGCCACGCCCTCGGCCTCCTCGACCGCCAGTGTGATAGCCCCTGGACTCGTTGCGTCCACTATAGTGACCGTGGGTGTTTCTCTGGTTCCAGTCATCTTCGCCTGTGTGCTTCCGCTTTGACGCCTTGTTGGCAAACAAGCTCTCGTACTCGTCTTCCCGCGGGTCGTCCTGCTCGATACGGAGTATCACCTTCTCGCCGACCACCGTCTCAAAGTCAAACGTCTTGTCCGCTGGCAGAGGCTGCCAGTTCTGGATCTTGCCCGCGTCGATCGGCTTGGCTCCCTTCCTCAAGGCCAGTACAACAAGCGGACTGGGGTTATCAGTGTGAAACTTGGCGTGCTGGGGGATAGGTCGTAGCTGTACCGCCCAGATACTATTCTCGAAGCAGCCTGTACCTACCACCTCCCATCTCATCTTGCTACCCATGCCGCCTACCTTGTCTAGAATACTAGCAGGGCAGGGTCGGGGACAGATGAGAATGTTGTTGCCATGATATTTGAGTTCATGCTGGGGTGTGTTCTGGGGTATTTGAGCGAGCTTGATCAGCCTCTTGGTGTCTTCGGGTCCGATCATGTATCCGGTAAAAAACACAGTCTTCTTAATCCTGAGCCGGTTTTGACCCGACGAAGCCCCCTGCTTCGAGATGGTTTCATTGTGGATGTTGATCATGTGCTGCACCTCGGCCACCTCTACCACAGGGTCCAGCGTCGCTGCAGTATCGGCCACCTGGATGACTTCAGCCGTTAGAGGCCCTCGTGTTGGCAACATATTTTGTCGGCGGTTGTATTCGGCAAAGAAGTCGCGGAAGCCCTTGGTGTGCTTGGGACGGTCCTCATACACCCGAATGTCCCCCGCATGCTTGTACGTCTCCATCAGTGCCTCGAGGAAGAGTTGCTTGAAGTGCATGGTGCTCTGGAACCGCTGGTTTGTCGGGCTGACCTGGGGCTTGAGGCCCATCATGTCAAACTCGAGCCCCTTGGCTGTCACCATCTTCCTGATCAGCTCAGCGAATCCCCGCTCGGAGCGGCCTGTCAGCAGGACACAGAGGGCATCCTTCTGCTTGATGCTTAGCCTGACGAGGTCGACAATGGTTTCGTTCCACCATCCATCCCACGCGCGCTTCTCTTCCGTTTCGATGCCCTCTCCGGTGGCAGCGAGGATTCGGCTGTCGTGCCACCAACCGCCGTTGACAAACTTTTCTTGATTCGACAATGTTCCAATCGTGTATCCATTCCAGAGTTGCGAGTTCGGTAGGGGAGTTTTGAAGACTGTGATGGGTTAGAGAGGGCGAGAATCGGAGCATTCAAGGCACTCACGGGTGTTGTCGAAATCGTAGACGTGGAGAGACTTGATCTTGTCGATTGCTACAGATAATCAGCACCCGTTTTTACCGAGATACCTCTATCCAAGAGGCGCATGAAACAAACCTGGCAGCGGATGGGTCAGGACAGACCATCGACCCAAGGCGGTAGTTGTGAATTGCGACGCGGCGGCAGGGCCATGGAATGCGCTGTAGGCCGAGGCCATGGCGCCGGGCACGCTGGATCTCTGTAGGATGGCAGCGGCTGCAGCGGACATGCACCTAGAGGGCCAGAATAGATGGCGATGGAGAGGGGTCGGCGTGAGGAAAGATGTCGTGCTCTTGTTTGATGTTGTAGTCGAGGTCCAAGTTTGTTGGCGCTGCCGCAGCAGGTGGTGAAGCGACAAGCCGCGCCAGTGGGGCACCACAGCGGCAGGAGCAGCAACCCAGGCGGTTGTTCGCTGTCTGGCCTGAGGCTTCAGCGCTTCTATAGGCGACAGGCGCCGCATCTCCAGGCCTGGTAGGCGCTGATCTGTGCTGCCTGCTCTATTCAATGTATGTCAGTCGAACAAATCTCCAGCTTTTTATCACGAAGCAAAACAGTTGCATGCAATGTGAGGGGAAGAAAAGAGAGAGAGGCAACCTTACTCGAAGCTGTTCCGATTACTTTACTTGCCTTCCGTACTTACCCCTCACGATTGGCATTTGCCTGCTGCACTCTTCTCCTCCTGTCTCTGTCTCTCCTCCCTCTCCAGCCTCAGCATGGCGTCGTCTAGCGCCATCCGCTTCGTCACAGGCACCAAAAAGTCTCCCCTCGGCTCCCTGCATCTCCAGCTCCACGTCAAGCCCGGTGCCAGCAAGAACCGCGAGGGCGTCATAGCCGTCACCGACGATGCCATCGAGCTCTGCGTCGCCGCTCAGGCCCGTGAGGGTGAGGCAAACAAGGCCGTCGTACAGGTCCTCAGCTCGGTCCTAGGGGTGCCAAAGTCGAGCCTACAGCTGACACATGGTCTCAAGTCACGCGACAAGACTGTTGTGTTGAATGGCTTCAAGGGCGATGGTGAAGATTATGCAAGGACTGTACGGGAGTTACTCGATAAGGCTTTGGAAGAATGACAAGCCAAATTCAGCAGCAATTGATCGCCTTGATACTATAGGGGTCCAATGGGTACTTGCATGTCGTCGAGTTTCATGCCTCCTTCTTTCGTCTTATTATCATGGTCTAGATCATGTTTGGTCCTTCTTATCACCTTGGAGTGGAATTGGGGTATCCCAATTTTCCATAATATCAGTTGAATATTTATTCGCACATCCCATGAATCTATGTGCAGCAAGATCCTCATCATATGACATTGTGCAGCTCCAACACATGCATGTTGAGTCTGGATGGAAGATTCCTTGTCCCATCTCCAGTAGCGAGATAGGCCCTGTTTTGAGCGTGCCTTCCAACAGTCACAAGACAAGCCCCGTTGGCTCAGTGGTAAAGCGTATCACTAGTAATGATAAGATCACTGGTTCGATTCCAGTACGGGGCATGTGGTTCAACAAAGATCCCCTTCAGAGGATTCATTTTTTGCGTGTCCGAGTCTCTCTCTCCGTGAGAAGCGCTGATTCTGTCAGTAATTTTTTTGGTGTTTCGGTTGTGGCTGCGGTTACGTGCATGTGCATGCATCACTTACATGCTCGATTTAAAGTTGCTGTTTATGGCAGGTTGGTAGCTGCCACTGAGCACAGTCTTGGAAGAGGCTGGAAAGAAAAGAGAAGGGATGAAACCTCCGGCTTTATGGAAGTAGGTTGGTGTTTCCTTATTGAGTCGCCATTATTTGCACATTCACCGAGTTGTGAAGGAGGCAAGTGCGCCTGCACGAACATTAACATCCTCAATGGACCTGGCCAAGCAGTATCCAAACCTACACCCTAACACTACCCACGAAGACACATTGTTTTTTAAATTACCATGTCTATCAGATCCATATTTGCCATGAGCATCGATATCCCACAATGTTTGATCGATCGGCTGTCCCCTACCCTGGACCACGCGACAGGCCGGACAGTGGAATTGAACTAACACGATGGAGACTTGCGCCGTTATGGTTCTCTTAGTAAATGATGTGCGGCTATGGCGGGATACGGAGTTTTCTCTCATCCAGGTCTGGTGAGCCGGAGTTGGAATTACTATCCCTGAGTGTTGAAAAGCCAGTCTCACATCAACAACACCCAACCTCGAGGGCCCGCGACGACTATCCTCGAGCAATCGAACAAAAACTGACGGAAAAGAGACATCAAGGGAGTTCTCACCGCCCTCGTTCGCTTATCGGGCTTCCAGACCGTGGTATCGAGCCCTGCAACATCAAGTCCCAGTGATTGACAACTTCTAGCCCTAGCCGTCCTACAGTGCAGATCCCTCCTTCATTTTGGCATCAATATGCCCACGCCGGTTTCCCATCAGGTCAGGTCCCCCAGTGCTCAACTCCCGCGCTTTGCGTCATCCTCACCACCTGGAAGCGAGCTCCCAAGTGGTGTTGTCACCAGCCTCAGCAAAGTCCCCTCACCGACCTTGATGCTGGGAGTGACTCTCCTGTGGCTGAAATGCCCTCAAGTTTCCTGAACAGGAAGCCTGCTGGCCAAACTGGAGAATGTCATTGGCGGCTGGCTGCAGACTGCAAGGGCGGGAGCCTGTGCTGCGAGGTAAATCGAACCCCTTCTCTGCTCCAGCAGATGGCGACCTTTCTGGTCCAGATGCTACTCACATGCAGATATCACTCACTCATGCAGCATCGCAGCACGCTCCGACTCCGACACTCGTCGCAGCCAGAACGCTCCGGTCCTCTCTCTCCATCAGGAGAGATCCGATACCAGAGAGACAAGTACCTTTCGAAGGCCCCGGGCCGCCTGAACTCGGACAGTAGCTTCGCGCCGGGACTTTGGCGAGCCGACGATCACCCCAAGCTAAAGGCGCGAGCCGGTCTGATCCAATGAAGAAGCACGTTGCGGCCGCTGATAGAGAGTGACTTGTGGCTCGAGACTTGTCGATCCCCCTCACAACCTTTGCACACGCCCCCTCGAAAGCCCCAGTCACTGTCGATAAACCTTGCAGACTTCTCAAAGCGTCGCTTCTTTGACGCGATATTGCCACAGACAGATGGAGGAACGATCCCCTGTGGCTCATCACGTCTTTTTGACAGTGGCGAGATTGCTCAAGCACACCACGCGTGCCACATGGCCCAGAACCACCCCTCCAAATGTCTCATCCGGGCCGTTGAAAGACCCTTGCCGAGCTGAGAGGGTCTCCGAGAGGGTGGGAAGCGAATGAAGTCGGTGCTGTCGATCGCGTCGAGGTCCCCTGAGGCGCGAGCTGTCGAACCTCGATTGTGGCTAGTGACGACGGGTTACACCATCATGACTGCCCCTCTCTTGGACATTGCACAAGTGATAATGCACCCCGTGCATTGACGATGATGGTGATAGCGGAAAAGAGATGCCGCCTGACCTGGGAACTCTGAAAGGATGGACAAAGTCTCGGCTGCATGCGATCGGCGATGATCGAGACTTGTCCGTCATGTGGTTTTTTGGTAGGCGATCCGTAGATGCCGCCAATTCCGTGCCGAGAAGTCGGTTCGAAACGGCCAAGCCAACAGGCAAGCATACGACCAATTGATTCCTGGACCTCAATTGGATCCTCTATGCGCAATCATGGAGTCTCTCTCTTCATCACGCCGAGATAAGAGTCTCGATGCGTCTCTGATGACGGCCCGGACAACGCATCGAATTGATCCAGGCAAACAAACAACAAATCACAAGCCAAAACGCTTCCAACACACATTCCTCATGAAACATGTCAAGCATTCGATGGTCCCCAATCTCATTTCCTAATCGAGACGAGCTGAACTCCTCACGAGCCACAACGTTAATCAAACCCTACGCATCCCGCCATGGATGCAATGCAATGCAACCCCAGAGCACAGCCACAGCCACAGACGCTGACGCGCAAGCCTCTCGCCACACGCCACACGCCACATCTAATGTGCTGCAATCTTTCACTAGTGGCTAAGCTCGGCATTTGTGACGATTATACTCACTCGGTGTATCAGTGTACAGCGCTTTCAGCCACACCCTGCAGGACCAACCAAACCATCTCGGAGGATGGCTCCGAGGGGACCCCTTGGCGGGGAGATGGATGGCTCAATGTTGTGGTCGTCGTACAACTTCAAGTTGTGCCATCTTCGGGATCATATCTCGCCGTTCGACTCCAGTGCTGTCTTGAGCCATGTCCTCCCACGCCAGTATGCTGTGTCTCCCGTAAACCCTCTGGCATCATAGAGCCGCCGGATCGAAAGCTCCGGTACCTTTTGACTGGGGCCAGGGTGTTCGTCCTTTAATTCTTCGGGCCCCTTGGTATTGGGTACACCGTACACCAAGAGAAAAAGGCCAAGACGCGAAGCCTCATCTGATGAGGCGTCTAGACAACTATGCACCAGCCACCTCGAGACAGCCTGCGATCGAGCAAACCCCATTCGTCCACGATGCGCAATAAACAAATAGCATCATGCAGCATCCTAGGACTTTATGATCATGAAGCGAATTCTCTGTCCACCACGCACCTGGATCGGTGGGAGACTGCTCGGTCACGGGGCCTCGGCATCCAGTAATGGCGCCATCATCAATCACACTAGCCAAGACACCGTAGTGACGAATAGCGGCCGTTTCGCGTCAAGGCTTGGACCGCCACTTGAACCAGGACCCTCAGACTGTCTCTGCAATCTCCACCGTTTGAATCATGACCATGTGGGGTCTCCGTAGTTAGTTACAGAGAGAGAGAGAGAGAGACAGAGAGAATGAGAGGGGTGTTTCTTCAGACATATTCAAAAAGTATGGGTATTGTATATGCCATAGTATATACATACATGTCGCCGCATCAACAACAACAGCAGCATCGATACTCCTTTCCATTTCCTCGTCCTATCCCATTTCCGCCTGCATTACTTCGTAAGTCCCCATTTTCGTATACGTTGGGACTGGTGTGGTGTGTGTGTGTGTGTGTGTGTGTGTGTGTGTGCATGTACGCTGCGTGTGCTTCTTGGGTGTGATTCAAGTTGCCAAACATTATTATGGTGGTAAAAAGGCCTCGTTGCATTCGACCTGTGTTTCGAGTCGACGGAATAGTGAGCATGTTGACTGCCAAAAATAGGCAAAGAACGGTGTCCACAAGAGTCATGGAAACTGACAAAGGGGAACCAGATAGGGGCAAAGGTGGCGGTGTAATCCCTTGTTTGTTGCTGGAAGACCGGTAATCGTGATAACCTCAACCCTCTCTGCCCGGACAACTCAAACGTTCCTCGTGAACAAAACCAAGACGAGACTGCAAGGGTAGAAGCAAAGAAAGCAAAACAAACATTCGCCTCCCAAAATCTTCTCACAGAAAAAAACCGGTGGTATCATTTTTGAAGAAGGATAAAAAGAAGAAGTCGTCAACGCCTCAGAGCCACAATCCCTTTCCGTGTATGTATGTGATCGTGAGCCCAACCTGGTGACAGGCTGGGGAACCAAGCAAAACAGTGCAATCCCCAGTCTAGACCCAAGCCTTCACTTGCTGCAAAGCTGTCATACGCAAAAGACAAACCGACAGCAACGAAACAAATAGAGAGAAAAGAAATAAAAAAGAAATTAAAAGGTGAGGCGGAGAACATAACCGCTTGTTGCTTTGTCGTTGGAAGACTCGGGGCTGTCGTCGGTAGAGTCAACTGCCATTTCCCATTCCCTCTTTACTGCGCCGGGCTGTCCGATAACCTCGATCTCGAGAGTCATGTCCTGACCCTCCTTGAGCTCTCGAACCACATCGTCGTCCATCTCGACTTCCAGACCGTTCTGAATCGTGTGGATCGTACGGAGAATTTGCGATGAGTCGAAGCCCCACTTGGCTGCAATTCTGTTGTTCAACTCTTGGAGCGTGCGCTGCATCAAGTAGATAGCTCGATGATAATCCGGCTTTCCGGATTCGTCCTGGGTCCGTCTTAGGATATAGAAACACGCAATGGGCTTTGGGCTTCGTTCTTGAGGAGGCCGATAGGATGCGTCGACACCCAATGCCTCGATCCAGCCGCTTAGGCTACCGTCATCATCGCCCTTGTTGATCCTGGTGGGTTGTTCCGAGCCCTTGCGTGACATGTCACCTCCCGCGACCGAGTCAAAACCCTGCCATGGGCCGCCTGGGCCGATGCCAGAGGCTTGTGACGCTAGAGAAAGTGAGCTAGGCGAGGGGGAGATCATGGAACCAGCGAGAGAGCTTCGCCCGCTCCGAGCCTGCCAGTTGGGACCGTCGCGGCCTTCAGGTCTAGTCAGGGGCGAAACGTCTCCTGGTAGCGATACCGGGTGCAAATCGGGATCGTCTTGTTCTTCGCCTCGAAGGAACAGGACACTGACGGGCCGTGTGCTGGTAAACATGTCCTGTAGAGTCTGTAGTTTGAAGTGAAGATCCTCTTCCATGGACATTCTTCCACCGTTGCCGCCCCCAGCGGAACTGGCCGAGGACATTGACCATGTTCGCTTGTGCTTTTGCACCTTTCCTGGGCGTTGATCTCCCATCTTTGCGGCACCGCTTGAGCGCTTCCGCTTTCCAAAGTCCTTTAGTCCACTCTCGGCCTGCGCAATTTGCTGCTTAAGCTTGTCGATGGACTTCTTGACATGTGCAACGTCATTAGATAGCTTTCTTTCTGCTCCATGATCGCGGAAGAGCTTGACCTTGCAGTAGCAGATATCGGGATTCGCGTCAGCGGCTGGCTGCGAGGGGTCGCAGGGAACGGGGTGGGTTTTGGCGCAGAGCCTCACAGGAATACCCTTGACACCCTTCGAGTGGCTGAAGTCGGTAGAGAGGAAGTTGAAACGGACCGCAATGTTGACTTCGGGGGGCCCGTTGATTCCAGGGGTCCAAGTGACGCAAAATCCGTCAAAAGAAGACGACTCTAGTTCCACTCGAGTCCTCTTGTCGTCGCCTTCAGCAGGCTGCCCCGCCTCAACGTACTCAACTGCTTGGAGTTTCCCCCCTCTTTGATGCGCCTCGTTGGTGCCTCTGCCCTCTTTCCAAAGACCCCAGCACACACCTGGGCGCTGTCGCTGCTGGTCGTCTTCGAATGAAACTCGGACAAATGTGCGGTATTTGGTCCCAGGTGCCACGGGCATTGTGGCGTTAGTGTCCGCGACGGACAAGGAGTATGCCTGGCCCTTGTTGAGATAGGTGACAGGAATTTCGTCTGAATGCTTGATCATGGCCGTGGGAGCGTTAAGTGTTGAGTGAAATCGAAACTTCTCGGCCGAGGGAGGTAGCGGATGTGTCATGGGACTGGAGAACTGGCGCGACTGTAGGCCAACTAATGGGGTTGTCTTCTGAAGGGTGACCCCGATAGACGACATGCGCTCTTCAGAAGGGTCCGAGTCCATAGGCGATCCGTCCTGATCCATCGTCTCATATCCTGTGTCCTGGTGGACGAAAGTGGACGGCGCAAAAGCAGGCTGCGGCGGGGGCGCCTGAATAAACGGGTTGAAGTGGTGAAACTGGTGAGGCTGCAGCGTCTGGAAACCTGTCATGTCCATAACTGCTTGGTTTGAGCCATGTTGCATCCCGTCCCCAGATGTTGGCATGGACAGCGGCGTATTGAGGCCCATGCCGAGTCCCAGCGTCGGAGTATGCAAATCACCAGCTTGAGAGTGGAATAGGGTGTTTGTGCCTCCAGGTGTGGGTGTGTAATAGCCAGGCGGCGCATTGGCGAAGTTGGCGAAGGACATGGAGTTGGGATCTAGAAGTGAGGGAGTAAATCTCCACGGGTCATTCGTCGCCCGAGGAGTAGGGTCTTGGTCGCGAAATGCATCTTGGCTAATACCCTGGCTTCTGTTATAGGAAGCTGGATTAGCGACACTGCTCAAGAGTCCAAAACGCAGTTCCGAACTGAAATGTTGCGCGGGGTTTACTGGCGGGGCTAGGATGCTCGTGAAGCTGCTCAAGGATTATGACATACCTTTCAGGTAGAGGCACCGACGGAGCGAGAGTAATGTCGGCGCCGACAGTCTGGGATATAACGGGCGCGGCGGCCGAGGTGCTGACCGCTGAGACCTCGGGGAACTGCTGTCGGAAGTTGGCAAGCAGCTCATCCCCCGGCTTCTGAGAGCTTGTTCTGTAAAAGTGATGTATTAGCATGCTGCCAGGTGAGGGAGATGGTGACATGTGAGATGTAGTAGCTCTCAAGTCTGCACCCAGAAATCGCAAAGGCGCGCATGTCGGTACAGCACTGGGCAGCGTACCTTTGTCGAAACATGTTAAAATGGGCGTAGCTGGGCCGGCCCAGAACAGCAATGCCCGATTGTTGTCAGCGCAACGACGAGGGCCAAGGTGTATTTCGGTTCAGATGGTCAGTGATGGCGCAGTCTCGCGACAATCACTTGTTTGCGCAAAAGGTGAGGAGGGACGCCAATATCAGTCGCCGACGCTGTTCATTGATTCAAATGCGTGGATTCTGGAGCGTTGCGAGGGCGGGTGGGTGGTGGGCGTCGCTTGTCCGAAGTTGGAGGTTAGGAAGCGCTATTCGCGGGAACCGTTAGATGTGTTGCAGCGGCGATACAAGTCCAAGCTTGATATGAGCCAGCTGTTCTGAGCGAGTGGTGACAGACGGCGGTCGAGTCTTGCGAGGCAGAGAGCAATAAAATAAAAAACAGAAGAAGTGCGTGAAGTCGTGGGATATGCTAGCGGGTGGTGTAGGTAGTAATTGGAAAGGGTCAGGTAAGCTAGAAGAAGGTAAGGGTATATTGGATGTGGTGGGGACCTGTCGTCAGTCTCGCCGAAGGAGGAGGAGGGTGAACTCGACGGAGAAGATCTGACTTTGAAGGCCAGGCCACAGGTACCTCGTACCCAAGTCCCAAAGCCCGGGGCGCCGAGGCGGTGTCGTGGATCGAGTGGTCAAAGTTGAAGTGGGTGATGGGAGGAGGGTGAGTGGGAGAGGGTGGTGTGTACGGAGAGATGTCGAGTGCCTGTGCCGCACGGCTTTGTGTTTGGAGCCAGACACCAGGGAGTGGTGCGATGCCGATGCGACGCGACGCGACAATCCAAAGTGATGCCGAGATGGATGTTTATTGTTTTGGAGTTCAAGGGCGAAGGAAGGTTGTTATGGCTGCTGTTCCAGCGCTGTCTGCCCGCGCTGGGTGTGTTGCGATGGAGGTTGAGTCGGGAAGGCTTGTGAGATGGGGGATTCGCCCAGAGGTCCTAGCGACGGTTGTGTGTTGTGCAGGTATGGTATAGGTCCTCGGTCCCAAGCCCCAATCCGATGTGTTCTGGAGTGGAGGAGGAATCGGGGGCGATAATAGCTTGCCCGCAGTGCCGGGATGCCGCCTGGGTGAGGGATGGGATGGGATGGATGGGATGGTGAAATGGCTCCCCGTTGTCTTGGGTGAAATGCCGTTGTGTGGCTTCTGTCTGCAATGTCGCGGCAGCAGCGATATATCGTGCAATATGGATCCTGAGCTGGGAGGCCTGAGCTGAGGCGTGGTTTTAAAGGTTGGCCATCAACAGACTATCGCTGCCACTCCCGAAGAGGCTCGTGGAGGTCCCCTCTCTGGAGGATGGACTTCTTTGTCGCTCACCACTGTCTGCGCTGCACTCAGTCAGAAGGACATCCATCCATCGATTATCGGGAGCCTGTGGGGTCATAATGATGGAGGCAAACAAGCAAGGGGGGACCCTGGCCCTAGCAGGCGTCTTCTCATCAGCCAGGGTCAAGGGTCGGCGGGCACTCTAATCCCTGTGCGTGCTAGAGGTGCGCAGGCAGTGGGGAAACGGAAGGACGAAGAAGAGGCTCGTCGATATGGAAATTGTTAGTGCGGGACAAACGGCCAGAGCCCTTCTCACCTCCGGGTGTTATGGCGACGCCCCTTCTGACTCCCATCTTGTCGCTCTTCCTCTCTCCCTGTCTGGTTTGCCGAGGAGGCATGTGGCTTGTGACGAGGGAGGACCGGCGTCACGGGCAAATGAGAGACAGCGCCGCAGACGTTGAGACTGGGGCACCGGTCAGTCGTAGTCAGTGGGTGGATGGATGGATGGACGAAATTGAGTTGAAGGCCAAAATGGCGTTTGATGCTGGAGAGTGGCTCCGACTGACGCCTGAGCCACACTTTCACCTTCCCTCCCTCGAGCACTCCCCGAATGGCGCTCCCAGTGGAAAGAACCACCCCCAGAAAGAAAGAAAAAAACTCCCGTCCTTTCCCCGGGCGGACCATCCTCCAAAGCAGAGCTCAGGTGGCCCTGGCTCCGGATACAACAGCGGTAACCCTTACGCAGGAACGCCAGCGTCGTGGGATGTGGAGGCCCTGAACCCACAGCAACTCACTAGCTGGATCGGATCTTTACTCTGTCATCGGCTCTTCAGCCCAAGAGCACCTTTGGCAATCGGCTGTCCAGCCCAAAATCACTCCTCATGGACAATTGCATTGCCAGCTGCCTGTCCCATCGGGGGCCGGGGATGGAGCCATTGTTTGAGACTGCTTAGGCGCCACGGCCGACTGGCCCTTGAAGCTCCTTCTGGACGAGACTACAGATGCCAGCAAATTAACACGACGGGACTAATGACAACCGGCAGAGAAGGAGCAAAAAAAGAAGAGGCTCCGTCCTTTTCATCCAAAGCATTGTGGTGGTGGTGATGCCTCATCTCCCGCTTCCCGCCGACAACGCGCGCTGTGATGCCTCTGCCGCCGTCCCCTGCTGCGTCTTTGATCTCTCGTCCTCATTGGCCCGGTCCGAACCCCGTTCAGCAAAACAGCGCGATAGGGTCAAAAGCATCCATCCATGAGCAGCAGCATGGCATCCATTTTGGCATGGCACAAGCGGCATGACGGATGGGTGCGCAGCCGTCCCTCTCATCTGTAGTATCCACGGACCGAAAAATGACCTCTGTGTGTCCAGGCCTTCCCCTTTGGGGCCAGCCACCTGACCAGGGCTGTCATTCACCATAACATCCCATGGCCTGTGGCGAGATATTGACCCTTGGGTGGGCTTGCCGTGCCCGCTACAGTGGAAGGGAGAACTGTTGTCTGCCACTACCACGGTCGATCAAAGGCGACATTCCCAAGCTGAAATCAGTCCTGCTCCCCGTGTGGCTGTGCCGAACCTTTCTTGCCGCTCCATCAGTTGCCAATGACAGCCCGTCAAGGCAATCTCGCCCACGCGGAGCGCGCTTGTACACGCCGCTGCCGAACTGCCTGAATCGACCCAGCCGCACGCCGAGGGCATCTGGTCGAGCTTATCCGCCCGCTGGCTTCAACGAGAAGGGACCTAGGCCGTCACAATCGAACCATTTCTCTCTAACCGCTTGTCCCGATTCAGCCTGGGACTAGCGACGTTGGGAATGCGTTTCGTGAGAGCCAAGCACTGCATCAGAAGCGGTCGCCGAGGTCCGTCTTCAAGCATTGCTGACGCTGTTCTGTTGACCTTTTCCGCCATTTCCCGTCAGTGATCTTCACACCCTGCTCTGGTCTGAGTGCCGGCAAGTAGGTGCTCTCTGCACTCTGAGGTTGGGGTGTCGTCTCTGAGCATCCATTCCCGTCTTGTCCATATTGACTGTGTGGCTCCAGACACCGCCTCACAAAGGTGAGGGGACGAAGCCACATCGGATCTACCACTCGGAAGGGATCACGAAACCTTAATCTTTGATGCTCAACGCTCCTCCTTTTGATACGTGTCAACCAATGCGGTAGATCAGCCCTGGAACACCTTTTGCGCTGATCATTCGAAAGGCAAGCCACCGTTGGTGTGTGGCGGCATGTGTGGCTTGACGCGTGGCTAGTATTGCGTGGCTTGTCGCCCCTGCCAGTTGAAGTGAAAGAGGCAGTCGCTGATGTTGAACCTTCAATCCTCTTCAATCATTTACTTCTCGTCATGATTGCTACTGTCATCCGTCATTGTCAGGAATAACATTACTGACTGTCCTCTTTGTTGGTGGCCAATTTCCACATGCTCGAATACATCCTTGCCCCCCAATGGCACCTTGTCCCGGATTATCAACTCCATTCGGAGCCTGAGCCGTCGCGGGCCGTACCAAATCGACTGACTCTATGAACAAATGGCAGAGCAAGCAGCTTGCATCCGAGAAAAGGAAGTCAATTAGGTGGACGTCGTCTAATACTACACCCATTCTCGTCTTGAGGATCGCATATCACACCAGGACAATTCGATGTTATTGAGCACAGGGTTGTTTAACAGCCAGATGCTGGAATGGAGATGGCCTTGTCGCATCGACCTGCCTGATTCTGGGCGTAAAAAGAAAGGCTCGAGATTGGACGGAGAAACAGTACGTCTCTTGAAACACCACGAAACTCTTCGGGTCCTGACAATTCCAGAAAAAAGACCTTTCAGACGCACGACCTCCTCTCATACGGATCCACGGCGGCTACATGGCGTGGGATTTACAGAATCGAGCCTGTTGTATTCCAATTGGCGCCGACTACTTGATTCGTCTTGTTTTAGACGAAGTGAGCATCGATGCAGAATTTCTCCCCCCAAAGGTGTGGTGACGGAGCTGTATATGCCAGGGCTACCCTGCCAGTCCCATCTACGACCATCTCGGAGGGCAGCCTAACCCCGGTCGACTCCCCATGGCATAAGAGAATTGCACGTTCAGCTTTAGGGTGCAGGACCGTGCCGTTTCGGGGCTCGTGCGGAAGACGGTCTGCTGGAAGCAGAGAGGACATATTATGCATTAAGCCAAGGTACAGGCTTTGTGTTAAAATCGCCGATGAAGGCCTGGCACTCGGCCCAAGCTCAATCATCTCAAGCATTGAGCTCCGGACCTCACCGGCCAGCGCTTCTGCGGCACATTCAAGCCCTCAACCTCAATCCCAACGCAGAGGTCGACTTGCATATCGCATACGTCACTGTCACCTTTGATGCGCTGGAGAAAGCTCAACTGCGGGCCCCCGGCCTTGGCGCTTCGACGACTCGGGATGGAGTTTTCACGCATATCCACCCTACCACCTACACCGTTCTTCTTCCTCTGCCATTTATGGCACCTAGAAGATTCCCTCGGGCTTTTGCGACTTGGTTATTCCAGTCAAAGTCTGCGATAAACTGTGGCTGGTGACCCAGGAGCCTTGCCGGACCTGCGGGTATCTTGGTGTGAACACCACGCAGTCTTCGGGCGGATTGGCACGCCATGTAACGCAACCTCGCATCGACAGAAATTTGCTTCAAAAGAGCGCCTGTGATGGCTTCTTTGGGGTTAGAAGGCTACTGGCAACAGTTTGAGATATGAACTCTCTTTCTTTGTCATGGCTGACCAGATGAAGATGGGTCATGTTGTCGACACGCGAGTGATTAGTCTAGGTGTTGGTTCACGGCAAACAGTTGCTTGCCACCCAGCTGCCTGCCTCGCACAAAGCCGTCAATGTCGATCAAAGCCTTCGATGCAGTGTCACTCAAGTACCCCACAGATGACAACTGGCTCGTGATGACCTGCAGCACTTGGGGTTGGTCAGTGTGAGACAGCCGCACTTGAAGATTGTTTCACAACATGGTCTGAGGGTACGGACAATTGCCGAGTCCTCTGTCTACCGGTTGTACGAAGCTGGGTATCGATTGCTAGATGCTGCAAGCTCGGGTTCAAGCTTTCACGACGAGAGGCTCTATCAAACGCGCGCCGTGCCTTTTGCCGCGGGTTCTAGGAGCACCCTGGTCAATAACTGAGCGGACATGGCACCAAATTCGTCGCGCTATATGCCCCAACATGTAGTCCACCATCACGAGAACCCGAGCCCCAGCCACATCCCGACCGCAAAGAGGCCGATGATGTCATGGCAGCTCTTCAGAATCCTTCCACGTCAGTCTACCCACGAGGCTGAAACTCTTGAGAGCACGCATCTTTCCGTCATCTAGGCTCGAGACGGAATAGCTCTGGAGTCGTTGAGGAGTAAGATTCTGAGCATTTGCAAGGGTTCATGCATACCATGCTAGAACAAGGGAAAAGAACAACCACGGTTGACCGAGACTAGTCGACGTGGCATCCCTTTGCCCATTGAGACGCAAGATGGTCCAACGGTCCAATTCCGAAACAGAAAGATGCGGTCTGAGAAGTTATCTGAAGCAAATCAACAACGAGTGTCGTCATGGTGGCGTCGCTCTGAAACGATGTGTGCCGTCATCCCGCCTGCTGATCTCCTCACCTGGTGGATGGCCATCACGAACATGACTGTGTTGGGAGGCTTTGACGTCATCGATGGATGTGTAGGGCTTTGGCCCCCAAGAGCTCAATGGTCGAATTGTCGAGATATCAGAGTACATGCTCGTCAAGGCTTAGCCCAGCTGCAGTGATGTGATAGCAGGGGTCGGCTCCGAGAGGCTCGTCTTCCGGCATCTTTTGGCGTACCGGCTGAATCCGCGTGCTGGGCAATTGGTGGAAGTTCACCCCGGCTCATGGATTCGCTCATAATAACGTTTCCAAGATAGTCAGGGACCTCGCACTTGAGTTGGAGCCCGCATACAAGCGCATATATGCAAGCTGACCCTTACCCGAGGCGCGCGGTTCCCCAAGGCCTTGGCGGACTCGGGTTTGGAGCAATGAGAGGATTGGGAATGCTGCTTCTCATTCATCCATCCACCGGCAGGAACACCCATTACGGAAGTATAAGCCCTGTGGTAATCCTACCGGGATTCACCACACCCTGAAAAACCGGGGGGAGATGCAACCTGGGATGAGCCCCTGGCGATGGCGAACCCCTACTTCGGACGATGGGGCTTTGTTGGAACAAGTCCGTGATTGCACGGCTTTGTGTGATGGATGAAGCACGCTCTAAGTCGAGGAGAGGTCTATTGCTGAGTCGATAACTCGCAAGCAATACTCGAAAGAGCCTACGGTTGCTCTGACTTGGGAGGTCTTGAAAAGCTTATTGTCGCTCGCCGGAGAATGAGGGCTAGGCCAGCGAGGTCAGCCCTCATGTGTGTTTGGTTGTTGAAAGGCGACATGGCTTTGATTAGAGGCTTCAGTCAACTATCACTTTCAGCATCACCATTCACATAGGGACCATGCAGATGCGACATGTTGGCTAGTCATTTGCTATGGATGGATGCTCAATTGTGCACACTCACCTCACACTGCGGCTGAAGCCACACCCCTCCCGTCCCGTGCCTGGGCTGTTCTGTCAGTTTGCTCATGTACAACACTATCATCAGAAAGATGAGGTTGTTGAGAATGCCATTCTTACTGCAGCAAGCCACATTCGCCACCTCGTATTGGCAGCAATATCTCGACAATCTTAAAGCTGTGGCCGCAGCAAAACTCATGATGATCAAGGGACCCCTATTCAGGGTCTTCTTCCAGAAGCTGTCGTCGCTACAGGGCTCAAAGTATGGTTGGGACTGTCATTCCCAAGAGGGCACCGGTTTGGATGATCACTACATCATCGCACATCCAACCCATGCACATCTGGCATCGTCTCTGCACCACATTCAGCAAAATGACGTGGAAATGGCGTTTGGAGAATGCCCACCTTCTCCACGTTGCCGGCCCCCTGACTGATTCTTTTTTCCTCCCGCCGTTAGGGCTGCGAGGTTGGTGGTGAGGCGGGTAGATCGTTGCTGCGAAGGGTATCCCAGCGCCGGCAAGCGAAGCGAAGCGAAGCGAAGCGATGCGATGGCGCGTCGTCGGTGAGGCAAGCGGAGCGGAGACGATGGATCAAGATAAGGGACGATGATCAAATATTTTTGGAACTGCCATTTTTATCTCGAATATGACCATCTTCTGTGCAGATCGGCCTTCGTTCGGGGTTGACCGGTCATGGTTGCAGTGCGTTTTGTGATGGTGGCATGGATGGTCTGCAACCTTGACCAAGAGTTTGGTAGTGCTACCGCAACGACGGATCCTGTCGAGCTGAGGATAGCTTCAGGTGAATTCTATAATTCACAATAAGATGTGCGCTAGATACGAGCTTGCTGGTAGCCGACCTGCCACATCAAGCAGAGACTGCAGCTTCATGGACTTGCCGAAGATGACAACTCTAGCCGAATGGCACCAGGCCCGTAGAGCTGGTACATACTACGTACGACTTAACTGAACTTCATCATGGTTTACTATTCAACGTTGCAGTGATGACATCTCACCGTCTTGCGCAATTACATGAATCAGATCATCTAGCGTCAAGCTGACGACGATGGTTGATATTGTCATTGATACTATTTTTGGGCTGAAAAGGGGTAATCCAGCAAGAGACTGAACATCAATTTCGAGAGTTACGGAGTGGGTGTTGTTGTGATGCAGGGCACACATGCAGGCCTTGGGGTCTTGGTCTTTGTGAGTTGGAAATAGGATGGCAAGTTTGACTATAGTCTACGCGCTATCAGTGAGTTATTGTAGACAACTCAGAGCTCTGTAAACAGCTTGCCTGTAATTAATTGAGGCTGAATAAACCCAATGACTGTTGCGCCATGTTCTGATGAGTTGAGGTATGCTATCGGGTAGTTGCCAACTCGAGGGTAGTATATAGTTGTGCATAGAAGGTGAACAACCAACTGGGCCCAGTGGTAACTATATCTATTTATCACTGGAACTTGGAACGAAACATATGTATGTTCACTTATAAATACAACGGACTCACGACACGGCGCCGGAAACTGGATCATATGAGTGTGGAACTCCTGAACAACTCGGACACTACTTAAGAAACTCGATGTGTGACATTGCATCCAGCATTCTCTGACCTAGCATGTAGAGGACATTGAACTTGATCTTATAATTACATTTGCCTTGATGGACTGACATCGGTCAAGTAAACACTTGTGGGTAGACTTTCGTGGCGCTTGTTATGGCCTTGACGTATGAGAGAAACTTAATGTTATAGATATGAGGAGCTGTTGTAAACCAACATTGTTTCTCCTTGTTCCCCTTTCAAAGTATGGCCCTCTTATTGATGATTAGTTTGAAAGGTAGGGAAACATGGAACTAATGATTGTTACTGACTTGGTTTCGTCCTTCACGGAACATGGCCCCCCCCCCTCCTTCTAAAGCCAAAGGGCATATTAAGGCAAACCGGCGAGGCAAATACTCACACTACAAAGTTGCCGAGAAACTTGAGCTTGCTGAATTCCTTCAGATGATACTTATATGTTGGATTCAAGGTGTACCTGGTTTATAGGGACAGGCCTTCTTAAGCGGTTGGGCAATATCACACTCCATCAGTGCCCTTTTGCAACAGACAACTAGACTCGAATCATTTTACTTTGTTCTTTTAAACTCCTATATCCTCACGGATATATACAAAAGCATTCGTCTATTCATCATCGCTCTCCTCGTCATCTTCCTCCTCTGCATTCTCCAACCACTCAACCAGCACCCGACACTTCTCCTTGAGAGCTGTCATACCCTCGCCGTCATCGGAACGCTCATTTCCCCACCATCCCATGATACCCTCTTCCTCGAGAATGTCGGCCGTGTACAGCTGCTGTAGGAGGGCGGCGAGTACGACGCCAACCCGGGATTGGTCGGGCCCGTGTGCGTGTGCGAGAGCCTTCTGCAGCGCGAGAATGAACTCGACTTGCTCGGCCTGGTTGTCATCCTCCTCGCCACCGATACCAACCTCATTGATAAAGGTGATGGCGCCACGACGCGCGGTAAGAGCTCGCCCAGCGGCCTTGTTAGGGTCGAGAGCGCCGTACTCGGGTGTGAGCAGCTCAGCCGCGTGACGGGCAAAGGCAGTGGCGACGGCACGACGCATCATGGCATCTGAAGCGTCATTGGCAAGACGAAGACCCATGAACTCGAGCTTGGCCGAGTCGAAATCGCCAGACTCGGCTCGGAGAGCATCGAGCAGACCGTGGACTGCATCGTTGTGGAAAGACATCTTCTCGCCAGCCTCATCTGAAGCGAATGATGAGAGCCGCGATCGGGTCGAGGTACCAATGGAAAGATGGCCTTGGTCGAGGCTGTCCTCGGAAATTTCAGAAGAGAGGGTTGAGACTGATGAGGTGGAAATGTTGAACTCTGCGAGGGAGTAGAGGAGAGACTTCTGAAGCAGGGCCGGGTCCTCATCGTCGAGTTCCTCGTCTTCGGGGTCGGTAAAGGGAGCGGCGTTGGTGCCAGAGCCGAGAAGCGTGGTGTCAGGGGTAACGGGGTTGCCCTCAGAGTCCACGCATGAGATGGTGGCACTCTTGGATAAGATCATATCGTCGCTGACCTTGACACCAAAGGAAATCAAGCTGCCAGTAGGTATCGAAGCGTTCTTTCCGATGGTAGCGGCGTCTGCCACAACTGATCGCGATATCCTCGCACCATCCTCGATCGTAGCATCGTTCCAGACGAAGCAGTCCTCCAAAACCACATTGGCCCCAATCTTGCAGTCTCTGCCAATGATACTGTTGACAATCTTGCTCCCTGACCCGATGGTGCTGTTTCCGCCAAGGATTGTGTTGGAGACTGTAGCGTCGTTTGCGTAGAAAGCACCGTGCTCAGCTACCACACCGTTAATATGGCGCTGATACGTCTGCTTGGGAACGACGTTGCACTCTGGGATGAATGGGTATGTCCACCGGTCGAGAACGTCGCGGCTGATGGCGTCGTATAGTTGCAGGTTGCTCGCCCGCGCAGCGTAGCCCTCTTCCAAGATCTCAGTGTAAATCATCTTGCCGTTCAGCTCCCAGTCCTTGAGCACACCGTGCAAGAAGTTCTTTCGAGGAAGTTCGTAGTCGAAGCTTTCCGACCAGAGGGCGAGAACTTCGGGGGTGCAGATATCGATCTGTGCATCAATGAGGTCGGCTCGGATCTCGAATTCAGTCGACAGCTCATCCACAACAGCCGGATCAAGGGCCATATACCGGTCACTCGTCAGGGGGTTCATTTCGTCGTAGTGAAGACATCGGTTCGTCTTGGTGTCAACCACAAAAATGGGTGTGATTCCGTGAGTCTTTGTTCGATGGTCATCCAGTCCTCCGCTTCGCAACACCATGGTCATGATATTGGCCGCACTGGTTTCTCTTCGCTTGCGGTGCGCTGCGAGGGCACTGTCAAGCATAATGTTCGAGACTAGATCTCCGTTGACTAGGATAAAATCGCCGTCGACAAGTGATCGCTTGTCCATATCACGGAGGACGTCACCAACTGATCGCGCATCCGAGACTCTGACGAATTGAAGGACGGAGAAGGGGCATGTTCGGGCGCCGGTCGACCATCTGGAGCGGCTGATGTAGTCTTCGACTTGGTCGGTATGAGCACCACAGTAGATGTATACCTCGTTGACGCCATTCATAGCCAGGAACTCGAGGGTGTATTCGATGAGAGGGGTGTTGGCGAGTGGGAGAAGACACTAGGCAAATGGTGTCAGCTTGAGTATGGAGAGCAAAGCTCAATTCAAGGCCTCTCACTCTTGGCTTCTCGGTTGAAAAGGGTCTGTATCTATCCTGGAACGAGTCGGCGAGAACCTGGGAAGCACATTGTGAGCTCGCGCTGCGCCAAACCGATACCCCGCGATGTCACATACAACAGCCTGGAGAACATCCTCGCTCTTGCTCTCGGCGCTGCCAGACTTGGCGGACTTCTTGCCCTTGCCCTTGTGCGACATTTTGTCGATGCGATAAACGCTGCTTGACGTGTTGTGGGCGTGAGTTGTGAAGACGAGGAAGAAAGCTCGACGTGGGGCTTGCGGGTGACTCAATGGCCCTGAGCCTCATGCAGCGCACGGGAAATTCTTCACCGAGGTGAGCTCACCGAGTTTTCGGTGTATGCGGGGTGATTGCTGAGGTAAGCGCCCAGGGTGCTACAGTGTAAAAGTGCGTGCAGCCGTTGGCCCCGCACGGCCCGTGGCGGAACTCTCCCTCGGACGATGAGGCTCGATAGACTTTGGTGAGCATTCCAGCTCTCGTAAACTTCCTTGTCATCAGGCACAACCGGCTCATCACTTCTACAGTATGCGGCAAACTCTCCCCTCGATGCTCTACAGTAATCGTGATTGATTCTGTCAAATACAGTGCCATCGGCCTTTGCTGCCGTTCGACCTGCCGGTTCGGGACATGCCTCCCAATTAAGCTCTGACTTGTGCCGATCAACATTTCATTGGCCCGGGAGGAGAAAAAAAAGGGTTGACAGTTGTGTAACCAGCTGACAGTTGACGGCGCCGTCGTGAAGCCAACCTTTTTTCGCCTGAGCCTCGTGGCAGCTAAACAAAAATCAACAGCCTTAGACGGACGCATGGGACAGGCACCTCGTCAGATACGACAGGGCTTCTCGAACCAGCAGAGACGGATGTCGTCTCGGTTCCGGGAGGCGGCCGAGCCTGGTTGGGGGGACTCATACTGATCATTAATCATTGCTGGCTCGCCGGGCAGTCCGACAAGTTTCGGATGCTTGCTTTTTCAGTGTGCTTCGGGGGAGACATGCCTGTGCTGTGCTGTGCTGTGCTGTGCTGGAGACGCACAACATCTCACCTTAGCCAGCAATGGTAGGTGTTGGAGCTGGAATTGTCTGACTTTTTAACCTCCTTGAAGAGTCCGTTTCCCCGAAGAGGACGTTTCCGAGACAAAAATGTTCCGAATTGTGATAAAACCTTTGAATACCAGACAGACAGTTCCCGCTATGGCTGCTGTACGAGGCCGGCCCAGCGTGCCGACAGAGCAACGGCTGATGGTCTCAGGTCAAGTCATGATTGCGTGGTCTGGCATCGAATCCGCCCTCTGTTGTTTCTTTGTTTCCTTTGTTTTTCCCTATCACATGTCTCACTCGTAGATTTTTGTCTCCCTGGCGATCCTTGGGTTGTGACTGGCAGCTAAAGTTCAAGCTGGAGTTCCAGGGCACTCTGGACTCTGGAGGAGGGACAGCAGTCCATTGACCCCGTAATTTTGAAGGGACCAGTTCAGAATGTCTTTTACAATCATTGAATGTGTTGTCCTGATGCCGGCTTTGGACTCATTGCCGCAATTTGCTGCTCAAAGTCTTGACTGTGTACCTATTCGGCGGCCTGCTCGGTACAGTGCGCAAATACAGTTTGCGCCAGGGCTGCCCCATCCGAGCTGCACTGTATTTCCGCCCTTAGGTCCTTCCAAACCTGCACCTGACCAACGGACAGGGCCAGGGCCACGGTCCCGTGAAGCTCCATCTAGCTCGCTTGTCTCTTCTTCTTCAACATCCGCTTATCTCTTCACGACAAGAAGGCTTCTAAACATGTTCCAAAAGTCCTCTATGCGAGGTCCTCCGACACGCCATCCGTCCCAGCAACCACTCAGAGAACCCAGCTAAGCGAGTTATGCCCCGCCCGTCAGGCGGCATGTGAGGAGAAGATCTTGCCCGAAGACCTGGGCTAGCAAACCACAAAGCCACACCCCTTGCCTAGCCCGCTCCCGCGCACCAAATTGCCCTCCAAGGATGTTCTCTCACCTTTGGTCGATCACTCCTCCCGGTTAGATCCGCTGAATGAGATCTGAGAGCCTGCTCCCTCGCCTACTCTCCCAGTCACAGCGTCCATTCCAGGCGAACGGAGACTACGGCGGATGCTACCATGGAACCAGCCAGCCTGGGTTGGTGGACAGACAGATGACCGAGTCGGATCGTTGGTTGTACTCGGCCATCATGACTCCTGCTTCAATATTGACTACTACAAGCGTAGTCAATTACTGACAGCCGCCCCGTTTTCTCAACAAGCTCCTAGTCCAGACGGCCGTTGTCTTCGTATTTTCTTCTAGCGCCGAGCCAATGGAAGGCCCATTGTCATCAAAGGGAATCGGTCCCTTGTGCTAGGTCTGATATGGTCCCCTTTCCTGCATTCTGGGGCTCTCTCCTCTCGGTACTTGGATCCCTTCAATCTCTCCCGCTTTTTCTCACCTTTGGATGTTTGTGTGGATGCACTATCGACTCTGGGTCAAATCAACAAGCCGCATTCTGGAAACGGACCCTTGATTTGGTCCTGATATCTGGGAGTCTCACGACTGCGTTAGCTCCCTCAAACTCAGACCGAAGCCATGGCCCGATAAAAAGCAAGAGGATACCTCCTTTATGGCAGCATCTGAGGAACAGCGCGACGGATCTGGGAGATGAGCAAGAGTCAAGACCGATGCAACATCACGCTGGGTTCTTGACTCTAGTGACTCGAGTTAACGTCTATAGCGGACCAATGACCCAAACAACCGGGTCTGGAACTCAATCGTGGGTTGCGACATGCATCCCGCATCGATCGAAGAGGGAAATTGGCTAGCATTCCTCGGGATGAAAGGAATCACGGCCAGGAACGTGGCTCCACGAGCTGGGCGGTCCAAGGGCACAGCTCGACAGCCTTCGTATCAACCGTCACCCCGGCCTGGGTGGGCGTTTTCCAGGTTTTGAGCAGCAGGCGTTGAAGGGTCCGCGACAACCCACACATGTCTCCCTGCATCGAGCAGCATGGCATGGTATCTGCTCTCCGCCCGCTTTGGACGCGGGAGAACGACTCGACTTGAGAGCCAAAGAGGGTCTGCATCATGTGTCACTGCGCGCCCGTCCTTGAGGGTGCGGCGGTTGGATGAGCGACACTGGAGTGGGTGAAACCAGCCAGACAAAATTGTCTGCTCTCGGGACAAATGTGATGCCGGAAACGATCGGGGTCCAAGCCGAGGGACATGATAGGACAGGACAGAGAGGGCAATTCGACGCACGCGTTACTTGACGGGCACGCCGTGGGCTCCGAGGCTTGGAGCTGAAGACGATGGAAATAGCGGCCTCGCTGTTCTTTTTGCGCAATAACGATCAGCGTGGCACCGAGACCACGACGGTAGCGGATGGATATGCTTCCAGGGCTTCCCATCTCAACAACTGAAAGTCTTCACAAACTAATAATGTCTAAGCAGCTACGGTGGGCAATGGTGGACGCCACCCAGTTGAGTCCGGGGCGATCTTCAGTGCAACCAGCCAACCAGAGACAATGGTCAGCGCGCGATGGACCAAAACTATGGATTTTGGCCCCGTCAAGGCGACACCCCAGCGACGGCCGCCAAACTTGTTCGCGCAATAAGGCTCCATTCCCACAGAGATGCTTGCTCGACGCTAGCCGTCCTCGGAAGGGCCACCTCCGACTCAAGCTTTTCCCTCCTTCGCTGCCGCTCCGCTGGGCGTCCTATGCGCCTCGCCTTGCTCACAGCAAAGGCCCCAGGGGGCCCCCAGCGACCCCTGGTCAAGCCGAAGTGGGAATGGGAAGTGCTAAATCTGCTCTACTCTCGAGGTCTTGCCTGAGCTTGGGCATGGGCTGGCTGGCTCATGCTGGGGCTGCTGAGTGAGTGAGCGAGTGTCCACGAGAGTCACCGTCCACTTGGAAGAGAGGGGGGCTGTACGAAGCACTGTGCCATGTCCACTCGACAGGGCGATGAGATAGGTCACAACGACCCCCCAGCTGCCCAGCCCGGCGCATCCCATCCCATCCCATCCCATCCCATCCCATCCTGGGACAGCCAGCCAAGCTCAGGCTGTTCTGTTCCACTCACGCCTGTGCCCACACGCACGCCCAACTTTGATGCTGCTGAGATACAACTCAGGCCCTGTCCCCGTTCCCCATTCTCCATCCCCATCTCCATCCTCCGTTTCCTGTCCTTGATCCTGCCATTGCGACGGCCTTCCTGCATCGCAGCTTCAACCTCTCGGCGACGAGACCCCCAGCAGGCGCCTCACCTTTGCAGCGCTTTGCCACAGCTTCTCTGCACTGCACTGCCCTGCCCCGTCCTTTCGCCTTCGCAGCCAGCGCGTCGAGACTGTCGATCTTGAACCCCCTCGATCCTCGTCACCAGTCCTTGCTGCGGTCATCACCGCTCGCCCTCTAGCGTGTTCCAATTTATCGCCTTCGCCAACAGACAACCACCGACCTTTCTCGACCTCTTTTCTACTCTCGATTGGATAGCGACGGACGGCGATTCGGCTCTTTGTCAACGGCTCTTTGTCAACGGGTACCTCGACTGGCGACTCGACTCTCAACCGAAGTATCTGGCCAAGAACCACCATCTATATTGAGAGCATAACATCGCGCACGATCATCAACAACCTCATCGCATCGAAACCATGTCCGGCGGAGATGTAACCCCAACCCCTGGGGTTGGTGGCAGCAATGCCAGCGAATTTGTGAGTGAACGGGACTGCGATGGGACTGTTGAACGGCAACTGATACTCCTTTTCTAGGTTCGCAAGCTGTATCGGTATGGCTACAATGACAACGTCCTACTATGAATAATACTGACCAGGTCAAGAATGCTTGAGGACCCAGCACACCAAGATGTTGCTCGATGGGGCAAGGACGGCGATACATTTGTGGTTGTCGAGGTATGCCATGCCGTCCATATATATGCACGCCATCTTGGTGACGAAATGCTAACAGAGTCAGAATGAAAAATTCACTCGTTCCATTCTTCCGAAGCATTTCAAGCACAGCAACATGGCGAGCTTTGTCCGCCAGCTGAACAAGTACGATTTTCACAAAGTCCGGCAGACGAATGACAGCGGATCCGCCTCAAATGGCGCCAACGTGAGTGCTAGCTGTTCGGTGAAGGATTCATCCCTCGCGCTAACCATGCGTGCAGACGCTCGAGTTTAAGCATCCCAACTTTAGAGTCGGCAGCAAAGATGATCTGGATAACATCCGCCGAAAAGCGCCAGCTCCTCGTAGAACCCAGGCCACGGAGGATTTCACAACTAGCCACCACATCAGTGTTATGAATGAGCAGCTCACGGCCACACAGCAACAGGTGCAGCAGCTCCAGGAACTCTTTACCGAGGTCTCCCAGACCAACCGACTGCTTGTAAACGAGGTCTTGACGCTGCAAAAGATGTTGAACGCGCAGAAGCAGTCTCAGTATGAGATGCTCAACTTCCTCTCCACCTCTGGCAATCGCCACCAGCAGCAGTCGATGCACCTCAACGTCGGCACCTCGCCTCTGGATGGCTCAGATGAGTCGGCGCCTGAGCTGCGACGAGCCCGCGAGCTCCTGTCCAGCGTCACACCGGATCAGATTGCTGACCGAGAGCTTGAGCGTCTCCAGGGCGTGTATGGATCTCCGGCTGACTCTGCGGTTGTGATTCCACAGGCGTCGATGCCCATGATGCACGATCCCATGAACGACATCAACCGATATCCCGTGTACCCTGTCGGCCAGACGGTCGGCATTGACCCCTTCCACTCGGACCACATCCACAAGATCCCCTATGCCATCCCCAATGATTCGAGCGGCAATGCCATGCAGGAAGTGCCAGCCCCCCAACCCATCAGCGCTCAGTCCCAAACGAGCTCCAGCTCTTCTAACAACTCTGCCTTGATGTGGGCGTCGAGGAAGCCACGGATTCTCCTCGTCGAGGACGACCCGACCTGCGCCAAGATTGGTATCAAGTTCCTCAAGTCGATGGGATGTGAAGTCGAGCATGCTGTATGTGATTCTGATACTCGATATTGCCTTTTGGTTGAACCCGACTGACTGTTGAAATAGCAAAACGGCGCCGAGGCGTATAGCAGGGTTACGAGTGTTGGCCGCGACCATTTCGACATGATCTTTATGGATATCATCATGCCCAGACTGGATGGTGTGTCGACAACCATGTACATTCGACAGGACTGCCCAGCGATTCCCATCGTGGCTATGACTTCCAACATTCGATCAGACGAAGTCCACTGCTATTTCGAGCACGGTAAGCATAGATCGGAATGGGGCTTTCGGCAGACATGGGCTAATAAGAGTTGCGAACAGGTATGAACGGAGTTTTGGCCAAGCCATTCACCAAGAGTGGGATGCAGAAGATTGTCGAGAATCACTTGAGCTATCTCCTCAAGAATTACGACCCTGCAACCCAACAAGAGTCCGGCTCGGGATACGTGGTTGGTGGTGCAGGATACATGAACCCTCCCAACAACCTGACGACACCCGGTGGAACGACGTTCAAGTTCGAGACAACTCCCACGCCCCCTGCGACCGGCTCGACGTGGTCGCCCGGACAGATGCCTCAAGCCTCGCCCATGACAACAGGAATGGACCAGGGATACGGCATGGTGAACGGAGCCAACTACGGCCTGACACCAGCCAGCGCAACCCGAGCCAACTTTCCTGGAGGCATCTCGCAAGGCGCGCCGAGCCAGGGGCGCATTGATGGCCAAAGTCCACCAGAAAAGCGACAGCGCACCTACGTGTAAGCGTTTGTTTCGGATGGGTTGCGTCGTTTGATCTTTGTCAAAGTGACATGATGAGGAGTATGGCGTTTGAGGCGCGAATGGCATGAACCATGACCGTCGTGGGCCGATGTGTCTGGTCGGGTCTGATCTCTGTGGAGAAGGAGTTTGTCGTAGTTGGCGTGATTCAGAGAAGAGTATCTTGCTTCGTTCGGGTCATGACGATGGCATTTAGCAAAGAGGAGGAATATGAATTTGGGATTATTTGACTGTCAGCAGCGGGTCGGCGAGTCGCCCGTCTGCGAGCAAGTGACGGACGGCGCGTATATGGATCGATTTTCGGGGTATATGCCTGATGACACTTGTTTGATACCTGCGCTTATAATATCATTATACTACCATTGGAGGGGCTGTTTGCCAGCCCTGATGGATTCAAAGATGGATTGACATTGAGATGAGCAAAATATGAGCTGTGAAAGGTGAAGCAAGATTGCCATGAGGCTCTAAATGCCGAATTCCTCGAATAGTCGGGTAGGCCAATACCTAGGTTGCTTGGTTTTGGTTGACGGATATACACAAGAGTTGACAGAACAGGAGGAGGGGGTTGACAAGGAACGGACGGGACGGGACGGTCGCAACGATATATACCTGCCACTCGTCACAGTACGCAGCAACGGTCCCTTTGCCTTTTTTTTTTTCCCCCTCAGGGATTGTCCAGGTGTGGCACAGGGAGGTGCAGGTCCATCGAGTTCTGGACCGTCGCGACGGGTGGGGTTGGCGATGGGATGTTTCGACAATGCGGATTTCCGTGGCACCCGCTTCGCTGTTTGCCAAGAAAGAGGGAATTTTAACTGATTGCGTAGGCAAGTTGCTAACTAAGCGGTTAGCTACTTGTCCTTCTCCACCGGTAGTTTGTAGTTCCGCCGTTGGACGACGGGTGGTATCAACGGCTCTGCTCTCGCTTGGCTGGACCGTTGCATAATGGGTCTTGAACTGTAATCTTTTTCTTCTGGGTCCCCGGTTCTCGGTTGTCGACTTTTGCCCATGCTGACAATTGTATGGATGAACCCTGTTTTTTGATCCATCTCTTTCTCCGTAAAATCCATGTCTTGTTGCTGAACCTCAGAGTGAAATACAGGCTGTCGACACATCCCAGGTGGCTTTTTTGTATCACCCCGAAACCACCCAAGCCAACACAACCAAAGCTCCAAAGAGGAAATATGCATTAAATCAGGTGGTGGCAGTGTAGACAAACAAATCAACAACGCGACCCTCCATCATGTCGATCCCCCTGGATCCTCCTAGGTTGGGGTGTCGTCGAGTCTCGTCTGGTTTCGAAGCTAGAAGTTCTAGACACAGCACTACCCAGAGGCCAGGACGTGCGGAAATGGGGAAATGACGTCGACTGCGTCATCATAATCGTCCGAGGACCCTGCTAGCATGAGCTCTAGATGCTTCCTCCTGCCAGGCTGGGGTCTTTTTTCCTTGTACAACTCTGGCGTCCAGTTGGTGATTCGCAAAGCGGAAAGGGTCGGGTGCTTTTGCTTTGGTGCTACACACACACACGCATAAGCCCAACATGGCGTTTGGTCTAAAGCTAGTCGAGACCCTGGACCTGAGGGTAGCACAAGTGTATCCCCAGGGAGGGGAGGGTGATATGTCACCCCGATCTGAGGATTTGACCGCGACGCCATGGCAGCATGGCCTAGAACAACTGCTCAGTACAGTATGCGCGGCAAGCGTTGCAGGGATGGGCCAATTCCATTCTCCTTTAGGCTTTGTATAACCTCAGCCGGTTTCCAGCTCAGGACCTGACGCTCGTGAACTGCTCTCTCCACAAATGTAAGGGGGTCGGAGCTCATGGTCCTGCAGAAAACGGTCTGGCCCTTTCCTTTGGGATTCTAGAAGAATTGGCCGTTGCCCACACGTCATCAACGCCCAAGATCAGAGACATTTCGATCTGCGGATCGGGATTCAGATATGCCTGGGCTGGTCCAGCCCGGCCGTACCGAGAGTGCCAGACGTCGAATCTCGGCTCCCTCCTTTCGAAAAGCCATCGTGGCTTCGGACAAGTACCAAGACGACATTCAGTTCATCCCTCGTTAGCCCAGCACTTGCAATGGGAGCGCAGCTCGACAAGTCCTTGCTCTTCGTTGCGAGAGGTCAAGTCCAAGTGGAGATTCATCATGCGGCTGAGAAGCTGACAAGCATAAATCACCTTATCCTAGCCCTCTGCACAGCCAAACACTCTCTTCCAGCAACAACACGCAGAAGATCGAAAGACAGCCCACGCCATCAACGAGTCAATGCGGCTGTAGGGCTGAATGCCCCCGGTTGTCAGTGGACGTGCCCAGCTTCCAACTTGACCAGACAAGGGCATGGGACGCTCGAGTTTGCACCAATATATCAACTGCCGGATCCGTCAGCACTTATGAGTTGTCGAATAGGAACCTCGCCATACATTCTGGTCGCAGCACAATGCCTCTTTTGGATGTGTTCCGTTGCTGCAGCTCCTCCAGCTGCTTACTTCGTGCAGGGAAGACGTTGCATCTGCGCGGAGACATCTATCCAGATTAGGTTGCAAGCTGCGCTGGGCTGAAGGATATTTTTAGTTGCAGTGTCATAGGGCTGGTTGTGAGCTGACGTCCTGGTGTTGATTCTTTAAAGGTTTCATGCGTCGGTTCGTGCTTTCTGCAAGTCAATCATTCTCTACCCGCCGTCGAAGCAAGCCACCAACTTGAGCAGCCGTCATCTCCATGGCTGGCCACAGCAATCTCGTCCAGGTCATGGCCTTTCTGGCCCTGGGCCTTTTGATGCTCGTCACCCCAGTCTCTGCCTCGTGGAATAACCCGATGGAGCGCTTCTACTCCACCAACTACAACCGCGGTCTGCAAGCAATCATCCACAACAACTGCTCCGAGACGTACTCCCTATATCTTCACGACCGCGGCAATGCGTCCAACATCAGTCCGGAGCTCCGTATCTTTAACCAGAACGGCGTAACCATGACCAGAGAGATGATTGAGTGCATCTTCGATCACACCCCCGAGTTCATCAAGTCCAAGATGGCTGCCGCTGCCATCGTCCTCGGTCTTTCACCGACAATCATCGCGACTCTCGGCGTCAGGCCGCAGGAGACTGCTGTATTGTCGGTTGTCGGTCGCCGCCATTTGCTTGCCTTTGCCCTCGCCGTCGGCTCGCCAGCCCTCAACGCATACCGATCGTCCGAGTATAATTCCATCATCGACAGTCTCAGGGAGAGATCACGCCAGCGGCCAAACGCCATGCGAAGACTTGACCCGTTCGTCACGGCCATATCCTACTGCCTCGCCGGTGCTTCCATCGCAAATATCGGAGAACTGACTTATCAACTCGGAGCCAGAACCATCTTCATAGTCCTCCCTGATTCTGCATATCTGGCTCTTCTCTGGGCCTTTATCGGCGTCTTCATCCACTTTATGGCTGCCATAGCGCTGCGATGTCGAGTGTCTTCTGAGGTCAAGTCGGTCGATGAGGAGATGACGCAGGGCTCTTGGCCAGTGAGTGTGGCGAAGGGTCAGATCGACCTCATGGCTCGACGTTCCAGGATCATCTTCACCGTTCATCCCGAGTCGCTGAGCTTCTTCTCCATGTCCTTCATCACCACCATATCAACAGCCTGCCACATCATCTTTGGTACCATGGTCTTCTCCAGCATCTTGTTCGTGTCAATCAACGACAGCTTGTCCATTGTGGCACGCCTAATGGCTAGTGCCATCGTGTGCCGCATTATCGTGACATATGAGCTGCTCGTTCTTCGAGAGTCGGTAGAGGAAGCTGCTCCGACAATGACTGCAACAACGAAGCACGTTTTTAGCTTCAAGTAAGGGTGTCCTGGAGTTCTTTGCCCAGTTGTGGTGCAAGATCGAGACCGGGAAAAGATCATGAGAGGAAGCCAGGCGGTGGCCAGTACCTGGAAAAGGGATCACGCAATTATGAATGAAAATGAATTAATGGTGGAGGAGAGAAGTTGGAACGAACTTGACGTTGTCTCCAGGGATTATGTAAGAGGCAGAATCCGGGTGCAGGTGCTGCGCCCCTTCCCTTCCCTATTTGTGTTGATGCGAAATGTAAGGCAGACTTGTATCTACATACCTACCTACCTAGAGGTAGGCACCTAATCTTCTCTACCAACCTCAGGTATATCTCTGTAGCTTTAGAGCCTAAACCTAGTTATGCTTGTCGTATAGATAGTATTGTGTGGTATCAACAAGATACCCATGCAAAGACAACACCTACAATCAATCTATCATGAGATTGAACAATGGCCTCAAGAGCACTCATCTTAAGAAATTGTACTATTCAACATAATCTGTCCCTAATCAAACGCCATGCCATGGTATAGATGCATATATACAACTCATTGTTCCCCCCTCGTCGTTACCTATCCCTTCCCTGGCAGCGCAAGTTACAGTCGAGCAACCAACCCATTGATTTTCAAACTATTTCTGGCCCATACAAATAATCCATTACTTCGTTCGTTTACCTCTTCTCACTCTTCTCTACCTGCAGCGTCGAGAACGAGCAGTACTTGTCCTTGATGGCCACAACCTCGTACGTACCCTCCTGGCTCGCCTTGACCACCTTGCTGTGCTCGTACGAAACATCGTGTCTCGTCTCGAGGACAGAGCTGCGCTGGCCCTTCTTGGCGTTGGTGCTACGCGTGTACGTGAATTCGAAAGGAGGTGTGCCCCAGAACTCGAACAGAATGTCCACCTCATTGCCCTCGTGGATGTCCACGCGAGACTGCTTGCCACGACTGATCTGGACGCTGGGCATAGGGTGAATTGTCTTGGGGATGTTGACGGCGGCGCGGCATTCGCTGGCCTTGTCCGAGATGCTAGTGATCGTAAACTCGCCGGGCTTCTCAGCGATACGGCGGAAGTTGGTTGTCTGGGACTTGGCGTTCCATCTACCGTTGAAGTCGTAGGTGATATCGAAAGGAGGAGTTCCAGAGAGTGTGTAAGCGATACGCTCACCGACACAGTAGTCGCGTCGGGACTCGAGGGGATAGATCGATGGCGCCTCAAAGAGCTGAATCTGAACCGAAGGCCCGCCAATCTCGTACTTGCGTTGGCAGCCACGGGCGTCGCGGACTGTACGAACGCGGACCTGCTGTGTGCCAAGACGGAGGTGCTGTCGGGGAATTCTCATGCCATACGAGTTTGAGTCGATAGAAGGGATGCGGTAGGTTTCGGGAGGAGAACCAGCCTGGTGCTTGATCTCAACTTCGACGTAGAAGGGGGCAACACCGCTGAGGGTGAGGGGAATCTTGTCTTCCTGATCCTGCTCCTCCATGCAGTACTTGAACGACTGCCCGGGCTTCGTGAAGACGGCTGAGGGCTTGGCATTGACCCGCTGCTGGATGATGAGAGGGTGAAAGTTCTTGTCACTGTTGTAGAGATTATCCGCAAGAGCCGAGAACTCGTACGTGTAGTCGCCGGCTTTGAGAGTGTCCATTGAGATGGCTGCCTTTGAGAGGGCAGCATCGAATTCCTTCCTGCTGATGGCGCGGGAACCTTGGAATGACTTGTGCCTGACCTCATATTGCACATGATAGGGAGGCGATCCTGCAATGAGTTAGAAGAATGAGCCACAACATGAACAAAGTATGCTTACCTTTGAGGTTGACCTCGAAACCGTCGATATCTCCTTCGCAGACATCCTGCTTGACAAATAGACCTTCACTGGGGCTGATGCTCGCCGACTCGACGAGGGAAATCTCCGGTCGCGGGAACCAATCCACTTCGAACTTGGATGCAGAGGGCTCAACGGTTCCAGGACACTGGTTATCACGAACCTCAATCAGCTCGTAGGTACCTCGAGTCCTGACGAGCAGGAAGTCGTTGGCACTCTTTGCCTGCTTGGTAATCACCTCGCCCGAGCCGTCGAGGTTCCTGTACTGGATGTTGAAGGGGGGCTCTCCCTGGAGACGCAGAGGCAGGCGCAGCGGTGTGTCTTCGACAGCCATGATCTTTTGCTTGTGATCGACAAAGCCAAAGGCAGCCCTGGGCTGTTGTCGTCGGACGGCGATCTTGACCTGGTCCTGAAGGAAGGTTCGGCAACCACGTGTGTCTTGAACGCTGCTCAAGGCAAGGATGTACTCTCCTCCCTTGCTCAGTGTTGCCGTCTTGATCTTGAACGTGTCCTTCTCAATACCTGTAACTCGTTCCGACTTTCGCTTGCCATCATGGACAATCTCCCATTCCAGGTTGAAGGGGGGGTCACCGTAAAGAACCACGTCAAGCTCAACCTCAGAGTCCAAGCAGGCGCCGATGGTCTTACTAGAGCTAACAATCATGGCCGAGGCTGCGGGCTTGACAACCTGCTCCAAGACCTTGTCATCGCCACTGAGAGGCAGATTTTGATAGATAGCATCGTCGATAGACTTGAAGACATACTTGTGGCGACCCGCCATCTTAGGTACCAGCTCCAGTTGAGATCGAAGGCCCGAGACGCGATGGACCTGTCTGTCAACGTGCCCATCGGTAACGACATCGTACCGGACAACAAAGGGAGGTGTACCAACGAGATCCAGATCCACTCGGAGTCCGATAGAGTTGCCAGCACATTTGTCGGGAATGTCCTCTGAGCGGATAGAGAGAGAGGGCTCCAGGGGGTTCAGAAGGAGGCAGGAAGAGGGCTCATGAACCTCACCCTTGCAAGCTCCGCTGGACACAGACTTTAAAGTGTACAGACCAGGCTCTGAGACCAAGGGCTTATCTTTGCCACCTCTAGCTGAGTAGCTTCCAACAGACACCTCGTCTCCATGCTCTCCGCTGTTAGTGAGGGAATCAATGGGAGAAAATTCCCAAGTTATCTCATACGAGGTGTCATCGTTGGGGCCGGCCATGGAGAAGCTAACAGGAAGCCTGGCGGTGTTTCCTTTAGCAACCTTGATGGGATTGCGCAAGTCACAGTCAATCAGACGGGCCTTAGGACGCTCCTTGACCTTGAACTGACGGGTCAGGACCTTTGACTTGGATTTCTCGCCTTGATCATTAGTCTCGGCATACTTGACCACGTTGTTAAAGGCGTCGTGGACCTCGTCAACCGAATATTCCCAATCGCCCGAGGATGTCATTGATTCGTTGAGGCCGACAGTGACCTTGCGTGGGCTGACCCACGAGATGTCGTCTGGATCCTCTGGAACAAGGCCTGAGGAGGCACCAAGAAGCGGCGAAGAGAAGCCATCAGGTTGGAGATGCTGAAAGTGGAAGCTGTGATCCTTGCCATTGATTGTACGGCTGTACAGAATCTTCAGAGGAGGCGTGCCGTATACGTCTAGTGCGAGGTTGGAAAGGTCCTGTATACAACGCTCGTTGTCCTCAGAAGCTCTAATTCTGGCCTGGGGACAGGGCACGACGTATGTGTCCTTGATGGTCCGCTGAACTTCAAGCTTGTATTCATCCAAAACCTTTCCAAGCCGGTAGACGCCTGGCTTCTTAACCGGGTAGTCCCACTGGAAGCCAGCCGTGGACTGGTCAGCGGTGTGCTCTCGGATTTGCTTGGCCACCTTGCCGACTTCACGATGCGAAATCTTAATCGTCTCTTCCTTGTTTGTCTCGAGGTCGATTCGGATCAGCTCGATTTCGGCAGGGATGGTGGCATTGAAATAAATCGGCAAAGACGCAACGTTCCTGGGTTTGGTAGTCAAGCAGAATGGCTTTCCCTCGGGATTGAGAACAGCGGAACCCTCAGGCAGGATGTTGATGATTTGCTTTCCCATAATGAGGGAGTGATTGTTGAGGATGCTTGACACCTTGACACCGCGCTCGGAGATGGAGATTTCACGGTCGTAGAGGACTTTGACGAAACCGAGGAGCCACGATTGCCATGGGATCTAGACACACGGATTAGCCTTGAGACAATCAGGCCGTGACCTAGGCAACTTACCGGAATATTAAACATGAGCATATAGTTGAGTACAAGATGCACAGAGAAGACGGTGGTGACAACGGGCTGCGAGAGCTCGAGCCATGGTATCCTGAGCTCTGGAACACCGAAAAGAAATGCAAAGTCGATAAAGATCCATTTTAGGAATAGGAACCAAGAAGTATCGCCATCTTCGAGCACCTGAAGCCAGTCGTAGAGCTTCCACGCCCACAGAAGGACGTAAACACCAAAGGCGTAGAGTCGTTGCTGGGGGGCATCGAGAACGGTCAAAGGGATGACAGGCTGGCTCGCTGCGGCGTGCGCTTGAACATTTTCGGGTGCGAGAGGCAGAGTGGGAGACCTCGGTGCCTTTGCAGAAGATGTCGAGCCGGTCGAAGTAGGTGTTTTCTGTTGATCGTGGTATCGTCGAGCGGTGGTAGCTGGGGTAGCTGGAAACCCAGACCGCAGGCGGGGAGTCGATGCGCTCATGGCATTCGCATTCCGGGGAGTAAAAGAAGCAGCGACTAAAAGTAAAGCATGGAAAGGCAAGCAGAGTCGCAGCCTTGGCGATCGGGGCGCAAGAGGACGACGGATTTGTTGCGCGTCGTGGAGGTTGAAGAAGCGCGGGTGCGTCGTTGGCGGTCGATGTTTTGAATGTAGTTTTCACGGGCGGACAATGGAAATTCCTTTGAGAGCCTATGGGACCTCCAGCTAATGCGTCACGTCGAGACGCGCCTAGCTAAGGTACCTCTGAGCTAAGGCACCAGCAGTGCCTGGCAGGGGTACCCAGGTCGAGCTTCAGGACCTGCACCTTATGAGATGGCAGCCAAGGAAACATTATCAAATTAAAAATAATGAGAAATATTTATGGTATAGAGTAGGTCATATT